GGGGCGGGTGGTGGGGCCGAGGTCTGGGGCCGGGGCGGGCGGCGGGGCCTGGTCCGCGGGCGGGCGGCGGGGCCTGCGCTCGGGGCCGGGCCCGCTCCATGCGCCGCGCTGTGCCCGGCAGGAGACGCTGGCAAACCTGGAGCGGCAGATCTACGCCTTCGAAGGGAGCTACCTGGAGGACACGCAGATGTACGGGAACATCATCCGCGGCTGGGACCGGTACCTCACCAACCAGAAGTGAGTACCCCGGGGCCGGTCCCCCCACAACCGGCCCGGCCCGGCCCCCGCCCCGCCGGGTCCCCGCCATGCCGCCCTCTGCCTGTCTCTCTGTCTGTCTCTGCTTCAGGAACTCCAACAGCAAAAACGACCGGAGGAACCGCAAGTTCAAGGAGGCCGAGAGGCTCTTCAGCAAGTCCTCCGTCACCTCGGCAGCGGTGAGTGCCGGGACGGGCCCCGGGGACCTCCCTGTCCCCATTCCCCCATCCCATCCCTGTCTCCCTTCATGTCTCCTGTCCCCCTCCATGTCCCTATCCCCTGCCCTTGGTGCCCCTCGGTGCAGCAGGTCCCGTGGGGGTCACCCCAGCTCCTGCAGGGCCACTTTTCCATTTCAGCTCCTGCCTGATCCCCCCCAGCCCGAGCATCTTCCTCCCCATCGCAGCCCCTTTCAGAAACCCTTTTCCCGGTGCCTGGCGAGAGGGAAGGGAAAGGCGGGGGAGCCATCCATGTCTCACACTTGTCACTGCCACCCCTGGCTTTTTCCTTGTGCTCCCAGCCCCGTTGAGCAGTGCCGGGCTGGTGCTGGGGCAGAAGTTCCTTTGGGCAAAGGCCTGATGTGTCCTTCTCTGTGGGGTGTTCCCTGTGTTTGGGAACGTTTGGAAAGCGGCAAGGTCGTTCCTGCTGTCCTTAACGTCCCTTTCGGTTTTCCAGGCGGTCAGTGCATTAGCTGGAGTTCAGGACCAGCTCATTGAGAAGCGTAAGTCACTCCTTCATTTCTCTCAGAATTTGGGAAGAGCTACACTGCTCCCCACGGCCCAGCTCTGTCTGTGGTGGTGGGGATCTCTGCTCCCCATCCCGGCACCTGCGGGGGCTGCTCCCCAGTGCTCCCGGCACAAGGCAACGCTGTGAGAAGCAGGATTCAAGTTAAGCTTCCTTTCTCGAGCAAACTTTTGTGCTCAATGAGAGTTTACTGTGCATAAAATTTATTGACTTGGTGCCCTGAGGGGAAAGGGGCTGGAAGGGCTGAGGCGTTTGTTTGTGTGTGTGTCAGCTCCAAGTGAGGTGGGGAGGAGCCACGTACTTTCAGGATATTTAAAAGCGTTTCTTTAATCAATACCGAAGCAGATGCAGTTCTAGTGTGCTCAGGTCGCTGAGGAGGTTCAGCTGCTGCCCTTCAGAAGCGTTTCTCAGGTTCTCTCATTAGCTCCTGGGGTGGTGAGGCTCCTCCTGTCCCTGCTGCCCCGGGTGCCGTGTCTGGGCTGTGCTGGGGGGGGTAACCGTGGTGCTGCTCTGTGTGTGTCCTGCTCTAGGGGAGCCCGGCAGTGGCACGGAGAGTGACACTTCTCCAGACTTCCACAATCAGGAGAACGAGCCCAGCCAGGAGGATGCTGAAGAGCTGGATGGATCTGTGCAGGGGGTGAAACCCCAGAAAGCTGCTTCCTCTACTTCTTCTGGGAGCCACCACAGCAGCCACAAAAAACGGAAGAACAAAAATCGACACAGGTTAGTGGGACCAGCAGCCTTCTCCTCCTGCCCTCTGGGTGGGCAGCTCTTGCTGAACTTACTTCATTATGTGTAGAATATTGAATAACTTCATTATTGTTAGAATGACAAGCAGCTTGGGTCGTTTGGTTTGGCAACTCCTCTGGGTTTTAGTTGTACCCATCCCATAGTGTTCCTCAGGACCTCACTGCCCTGGAGGGGAGGTGGCTGGGGGGGTCTGGGACAGGGTGCTGGCTCTGGCTCTGGTGGGGCTGGGGTCCCCCCGGCCTGTGGGGCTCTCCTGCCTGCCCAGGAGGCTAAACCCAGCTTCCTTCCAGCAGGGGAGGGTCGCAGTCCTGGCCCCTGTGCTTGCTTCTTGGTTTCTGCACAACCAAGTAAGGCAGGAATGTCAGTACTTTCTTTGGGAAAGAGGGGTGAAAAAGCAAACTGAAAGGTTTTGGGGGTTGTGGACACACTTTGCTAGCGTTCCCACTCCCCAAGCCCCTTCAGTCTCCCAAAGTGAGTCTCTTTTGCTCCTGGCACAGGGGACTGCCTTTGTCACATTCACCTCAAAGTGTTTGTCATTAAAGTGGCCCGGAATTCCTGCGAACCGAACCTTCCCTGAACTCTTCATGGCTGAATTTGGGTGCCTGGTTCTGCCCCTCCAGGTGTCCCAGGGCACGGGGCAGCACGGTGGGCTCACGGCTCAGAAATCAGGGATAAAGTCCCAGCCATACCAGGCTGCTCTCCATGGGCCACCTCACACTGCTGCTTGTAGCCATGGCACAGTGCCCCTGGCAGAGCTGGCCTGTCCAGGGTGCAGTGGGGCACAGTGGAGCCAGGCCCTTCACAGAAGGGAACGTGGAAATCCCTGGTTTTGGAAAGAGGGTACATTTTCTGAACTGCCCCTCTCTGGGATTGCTGGAACCGGTGCTGGGAGATTATTAGAAGTAAATGAGCTTTTAAAAAATGAAATGTTCCTGCCAGCATTGAGCTCGTTGGCTTTGTGTATGGGTGGGCTTTTGGGGGACCTTCTCATACAATTAGAAAAGTGAAATGTTTTAAAGACCAGTGGTAAAACTTGACCGAGGTGGCTGGGGAGGGGCTGGCTTGGGAGGTGCAGAGGTAGGTACAGTGCCTGAAAAATGCCTAACTCCTTTTTCTCCTTCATTAGGCTTTGAGTCGTTAGCATGCCTTTAATTCTTAGATCAGAATTTTCTTCCTCCAGCGGCCTTAACTGGGTCAACACTGGGCAGTACTGGTTGGCCCTTTGCTTCCTCAGGAGCTGGGTTCCAAAGCAGCTCAAAACTCTTCTTTTTTGCCTGTAGACACAGTTGGAAAGAAGTTCAGGAATAACACAAGACGCTACGTCTGTAAGCAAGTTCAGAGAAACCAATCTGTAAAAAAAAAAAAACTGAAGTGCAGCTTAAGAAAATTGCTATTTCAAACAAATTCTAAAGTGTTCTCCACGAGATGTGCCTGGGGAGCTCCGCGACGTGGCGGCCGCAGGGGGGGCCGTCCAGGCACCCTAAATCATGTCCCCTCTTTGGCTCCGGGGCACAACCCTGACATTAGCACCAGGAATTGGGAAGAAACTGCCCCGCTGACAGGTTGTTGCTTTGGGGTGTCTTCTGCGTTCCCTCCAGGGAAGCAGCTGGTGGTGGCTGCTCCCGGGGATGATACTGGACACGAGGAGCCCTGGCCTGACCCAGTACCGGCGGCTCTTCTCCTCCCAGAGAGACGGCGGCGCGGCTGCAGCACGGAGGGGCTTCTGCAGTTAGTGATGGGCTGCTCTGTAAAGCTTAGCCTGGCCAGGTAGATCATTAAAAGAAGATGATGATTAAGTTTGTCTGTAATAAAAAAAAACTACGTTAAAATTGTGATTGCTGTTCCTGACTGTCCCCTAAATTCTGACAGAAAAGACCAAACCGTTTTTCCAGTCTATATGTAGGTAGAAACAAAGCAACCAACAAACCAGCTTCGTGCTGGACCCCGCTGCAGCCCAGAGCCTCCCTGGGAAGAGAGACCTCCCTGGGAAGAGAGACCTCCCTGGCTGCTGCTTGAGTGTCACGGAATGGGGAAAAAAAAAGAAAAATAAAAGAAACGCTGGCATTTCTTTTTGCTCAGAAGCTCCTCCCGTTTGCCAGCGTACACTGGAGTTGTGCCCAGCTGTGCCCAAGGGTTGGTGTTGGGAACAGGCACCCGACCCTGCCCTCCTTCTGCTGGATTTTCTGCCTCATGTGCCACCGAGCGGTGCGGGGAGTTGGATCCAGACTGGGCAGAACTGGTGTGAATGGGCAGAGTAACTGCAAACAGCTAAAGGCAGAGCATCAGATGGAAGTCACCGTGTCTTCACTGAACCCACCCTGTCCCCTCGGAGACCGCCAGAAGGCCAAGATGATAATTTTCTGCGTGCTCAGCCATTTTCAGGGCTAACAAGTGTTTCAGGGGAACACGGTGCTGTTTCCTCTTAGAAAGTCAACGCCGAAAAGCTGCTCAGTTACAGCTGATTTGATGATTAGTCCCATCTAAAATCCCATTTTAGCTTTGGGGCAGAACCATTCCTGGAGGGGGTGCTGGGGACCGGAGGGGGGGGGATGCTGGGACGAGGGAGGGTGTCACCAAACAATAATTAGTGCTGACCCAATGACTGTGGTCTCTGTGTATCTCCTGGAAAGTGTGTGAGTGTGAGGGGCTGCGTGTGCGTGTGCTGTAGGAGAATACTCCAAAGCTGTCCCCAAAGCTCTGTACCCCCCCCGCTCCTGCCCCAGCCCCGCTTTCCCCAGTAACACCCCCTGAGCCCCCGCTCTCTCACCACCCTGGTTCCTCCAGCAGCTCTGTTTTTCTCTCAGCCCACGGGCTGGACTGGCCTCCGACTGTCCAAGAGCTGCCTCTTTCAGCCTAAAACCTCCAAAAATCCACTCTGCCTCTGCTCTAACACCTCTTTTTCCCAGAAATCCAGTTGGGGAGGGGGATTGCCCAGGCTGGAGAGCTCTCTCTGCCCGGTTCTGGTTAAGAAATCTTAAGAACTTTATGGCATTTGAACACTGGCTTTATTATTTATTTTATTTTATTTTTTTAGTAATCTCGCTAGGGTGGCTAATCAACTAATTTATTTAATTCGTTAGTATATTAATTTCTATTGCTTTCTTCCTTTCAAATGCTGCCCCTCAGCCCGTCTGGCATGTTTGATTATGACTTTGAGTAAGTTTGACTTGAATTAGTACTTGTGCTGTGTTGTTAGTGTGTAGACACCGATGTGCCTTTTGAGACCTTTCTAACCCATAGTTTATCTGTTTAATTGTAGGTATGTATATTAGGTTAGGCTGGGAAGTTTTTTTTAAAAACAGAAAAGCGTGATGGAGGTAACATTTTATTTAATAACTTCAGCAAAATTAAATTAACTTCACTCTTCTTTACCTTTCTGTTTCGTTTTTAAATAGATAAACTTGTTAACTTAAAAACTTAGTTTAAAAACTGATTCTTCTGGCTTTGCTTCTTAAGGAGATTAGTGTAGACTTGGATATTTCCTTCTGGAAAAATGTAATGAACTTCAATACCTTTGACTCTCGTAATCCCTGTCATCTTAAACTCCTGTCTCTATTGCGAGTAAATAACCGTTACCGCTCTGTCTGAATAACCCCCGTGGCACAGTTGCACTAATATCAAATTAACATAGAGCATGCCTATTTAACCTTAGTCCTGTATGCTGCATAACTGCCCTGTGATTTTTCATTATGAGCCTTTATTAACTCTTTTTTTTGGCGCGGACGGAATATGCATTTTGGCAAATAATAGTAAAGAATCCACCCTCCGTCTGCGCGGCTCTTGCCCAGTAACGCTGGGGCAGGGACTGGGCTCAGCCCACTGAGAATGTGGATTGCATTAACCAAATAGTCTCTGTTGTAGCCTGTGCCATGTGCAGTAGCTGGTTCTTTGAACTCTAGTCTTGGTTTCATGTATTGAAATGGACGTTTCTCTTATCTTTCCAACCACAGGATTGATCTCAAGTTAAACAAAAAGCCAAGAGCCGTAAGTATCAGCGCTCTGCATTGTTTTCATTGCTGCCTGTAGTGGCTGACTGACTCCTAGCCTTAAAAAGCCTCCCTCTGCTGTAATTTAAGATCTTCTTTTCATGGTTGAGGAGTATCATGGTGTGAAATGAGATTGTTGTGTGCGTTTAATGATAAATAAGCCCAGGTGGGCTTGTTCTGAAGCTGGGTCACAGTTAAGTCCTGTGCACTTTTCTATGAAAATAGCTGGTTTGCGTCCTGATACCTTGGATGTGGAGCATTAAAAGCACCTGGTTTTGGTTGATGTGGTGTTAAACTAAGGTTTTGAAGGGTCCTTTCTTTTGAATGTTTAGCTCAAAAAAAAGAAATATCTCTTTTTGTTTTGCCTACAAGTAATGGTATGTAGAAGTGAGAGAAGGCTGAGAATCCCAGCTCTGCCAGCAGAACTGGGAGCAGCAGGATCTCAGTGTGCCCCTCCTCTCCTCTCTCTGCAGGACTACTAGGCTCATCAGCGCTGATGCTTCTGGGATTTAGGTCTGCGTGAGTCCCCGCTGAGAAAACTGCCCGTGGAGTGGATGAGCACGACGGCAGCTCTGGCCACGCGTCGGCCGCCGGGAGTGGCTCACCCTAAAGAACTCACCCGGGGAGAAAAATCTCGGACCATGTTCTTTGCATCATTTTTAACCCACCTGAGTTGCAGGAAGACTAAGGTGTAGGTGTAGTCGTAGTCGTAGTCCTGAATTCCTGGCTATCCTGGGCTTCCACCTCAGTTGGGAGCTCCTCAAAATGGGCTGATCTTGCTGCTGCCCCCCCCTGTCACCTGCGGACCCACGGAGCGGGGGCTCGTGTCCCACTGGAACTGGGGTGTGACCCAGTGTGTCCCATCCGTGTTGTAAGACTTAGATTACTTCTGTTGCTGATAATTAGCTTTGTAGGTTTGGGGTTCAGTTTGGGGTTTTTTTTTGTTGTTGTTGTTTTAAAAGCCAAAGTGTATAGTTAACAATTTGACTTCTGGTTTCTTTGTTTTAATCCACGGAGAGTGGAAGGTTCTTCATTTTGTGGAACAGCTCTTTTTTGATTTTTTGCTCAAGCAGAGAAGAAGGTGAATAACCCTTTTCTCTAATTTTAATTTTAAACACCATACCCTAAAATGTACGCAGTATCTAAGGATGCAGGGACGGCTGGAGCTCAAAGCCATCTTGCTCTTTGCGATCTTTGAGGTTGGGCAGATTCTCTTTTTAATACAAACTTCTGGCATTTGTACATAAACAATAAAGTTACATGTTTGTCTTCTCACGGTTTGTTCAGTCCAAAATGTGACTCCTGGTGCTTTTTTATTCTTCGTTGGCTTTACGAGGCTGGTGGCTGGAATTGGTGCTGGGCTTCGGGGTGGTGGCTGGTCCTTGTCCCCTGCAGGAGGTGCCATTGTTTGTGTTCTCCTGCTGTAGGTGACGCTGAGCCCTCGGGAGCGTGGCCAGGCCCCCATCTCCAGCCTTGTTCAGCTCATCCCGTTCCAGGAGGGACCGGGATGGAAGTTGGTTCTTGCTGAGGATGGAGGATGCCCCGAGCTGAGGGGGGAGCAGCCGTGGCTGTGACAGGGGGGCACACAGAGGGTGAGGGCTGGGCACAGCCAGGATCCCAGTGCTGATGCTGGAATCGGCTCTGCTTTTCCAGAGGCAGTAAATTGCCCTCGTTACCGGCGTCATAAGGCCCTTGTGTGCTCTCAGAGCTGTCCTGCCTCTGTGTTTTCAGTTACAGAGGTCAAATACAGGGGGGGTGGAAGATCTAGGAAATAAACTTGTAAAAGGCCTTGCTTTTCCACAGCTCTGAAAAAGAATTCTTAACCGATGGCTTTTGATTACTTGGCCTTGGTACAAAAGCAGTTTTTCTCCCATGGCTGCTGTTCCAAAGCAGGAATTGCAAGAGCATCTGAACTTCAGAGGGTAAAAATCTTCGCTGCAGCACTTTGACCTGGAGCAAAGCTCCCATCCTCTTTGGCCGGAACGGTCACCTGCAGAGAGACAGCAAAAGGGCTGGTGGAGCTGAGTTCTGTGCCCTCAGACCTGTTTTATGGCAAAGAGTGGGTTGGCTCTGCTTTCCCTGTGATGCACATCGGGGTGCTGTGGGGACAAGGGGAAAACACAACCTTTCCTGCCTCGGGCAGCGCTTGTCACTAGAGGAAGGGGACAGCCTGTTCGGATTGAGGACAGTGATGGCAGCAGCCCCGGGAGGCAGCGCATTGATCAGGGCAGAGAGCTGAATGGCAAATGCTCCCTTCGGATAAAGGCACCTCGTGCTGCTGATCCACGGCTCTTCCCCCCAGGTCCCACTGACCGGCCACGGCCCCCTGGCTGCCCCGGGGCAGGGGAGGTGAAGAGGGGCTCTGTCCCACCAGAGGGACCCGTCCCTGCCCCATGACAAGCACCAACAACCACAGCTCTGCAGCTCCAGCATCCCTGGGGGGTTACCCTAAGGCCACGGGGGACAGTGTGTGGGGTCTCTGATGGCTCTGGGGACAAACACCATCATCTACAAGAGCACTGTGAGGCGGTTGCTGGTGTCTCCAGCATCCCTGGGGGGTTACCCTAAGGCTGGGGGGGGACAGTGTGTGGGGTCTCTGATGGCTCTGGGGACAAACACCATCATCTACAAGAGCACTGTGAGGCGGTTGCTGGTGTCTGACTCTGGCAGCTGTGCTTTTATTTTTTTTCTGAAGACTTCTGTTTTTTTCCCCCAAACTGCCAGAGTGACTAAAGGTCCCCAGGAGACCCAGTGCCTGCCCTTGGACACAGGAGTCAGGTTTTTTTCCTAAATGCCAATGAAAGCTAAAAGTAGTAGTTAAAAATAAATCACAGCTCATTTTCTTGCGGAAGGTGAATCCTGAGCAGAGCAAATGAGGGGTGGCAGAGCAGCGACTGTCCTTATGGTCACCAAAGGTGGAGCAGAAACACTAATCCCCTGCACAGCCTCGTCACCAAGAGGATTAGGCAGGAGTTTATCGAGCCCAGGGCAGCGGCCGAGCGGAGCTGACGTGGGGCAGGAGGAACAGCCGCCGCCGGGGAGGGTCCACGCGTGGCCCAGCACCGGGTAAGGGGCAGGGCTGGGTGGGAGCTGGTGTCCCCCTGTGCTGGGATCTGACCCCACAAACACTCACCTTCTCTTTGGTGAGGCTGTCCCTGGGAGAGGGGGCTGGGCACTGGTGGGTGGTGGTGCACGCCATGTCCCTCGGGTGAGCGAGGTGGCAGCTCCTGGGGGTGCAGACACGTCACCGCTCCGTCTCCTGCTCCACAGGGTGGCCATGGGCAGGCAGCGGGGCCCACGGGGGCCGAGATGGAGGCAGCTCCTGCATGGTGGGTGCCGGTGGCTCCTGTCGCTCTCTGGGACGGTGCTCCAGGGGCTGCGGTGGCTCTGGAGGCTGGCGTGGGTCAGTACCGCTGGGTCCCTCCCCGAGGCCCTTCGCGTGTTCGTGTCAGCCTCAAACGTGGCACGTGTCCAGACCCAGGGATCTGGGGATGGGGTGGGGGCACTGCTGGGGCTCCATCACCCATCCTGGTGGTGCCGGGGCTGCAGGGTGGGTGTCAGCATCCCATCCAGCAGCATGGCTGGGGGATCGGGACCCTCATCCCTCAGGGGTTAGCTCTTGGCTCGAGGCAGAGGCTGGTTCTGCCCAGGAAGAGCTCTGGGGATGTGGGGACATTGCTCTGGGCTCTGTGCTCCCTGGGGTGGGTTTGTGACCACCACCCTCACCACACGGCCACCACCATCCTCTCCTCCAGTACCTGCTGATCTGCTACAAGAGCTGCTGGGACGGCGCCTTCCATGTCACCGAGGAGGTAACTCCCCAACGTGCCCCCTCACTGTGGGGTCTGTGGAGCTCTCTGACCCCTGGGACACGGCTGAGCCCAGTGACGCTGTCTGTTGGGTGGCAGCAGAAGGGCTGTAGGTCCCCAGGGCATGGCACAGGGGGGGTTCCCCACTCAGGGTTGGTGCCAGGGGCCATCTGGGCTTGGCTGTCCGAGGACGTGTCAGTCCCCACTGTCCGTGGTGGCTTTCAGCTCGGTCTGTTGGGTGGCAGCAGAAGGGCTGTAGGTCCCCAGGGCATGGCACAGGGGGGTTCCCCACTCAGGGTTGGTGCCAGGGGCCATCTGGGCTCAGCTGTCCAAGGATGTCACTCCCCACTGTCTGTGGTGGCTTTCAGCTCAGCGTGGCACTGCGGGGGAGGCTGGAAAGCAGCAGCGAAGGGAGTGAGGAGGAGGATGGAGACTCCATGTCTGCGCTGGAGCCCGGGCGGGCAGGTGGGTCCCCGGCACAGCAGTGTGGGTTGGGGGGTGTCCCTGGAGCAGGGGGCAGGTCGGACGGGTGTCGCGGGGCACCGGCGGGAGCTGAGCTGTGGTGCCAGGGCAGCGGCGGCGTGGCAGCGGCGCGGGGATGCCAGCGAGGCCGTGCTGGGGAGGCTGGAGGCGCTGGAGGCCGACGTCCGCTTCCTCTGCACCGAGCTGGGCGCCGAGAAGCTGCTGTGGAGCAGCCGGTTCCTGGAGCTGCTGAGGGAACAGCAAAGCTTGCGCCAACGGGTGAGTCCCCCGTGGGACCCCCATCCCCTCTGGCCACCCATGGGCCCCTGGTCCCACCAACCCTCACCTCCCATCCCAGCTGCAGGAGTACCCGCGGCGGTGGGACAGTGGTGACAGCCCTGAGATGCTGGGGGAAGCAGAGGACCAAAGTGCCAGTGGGAGCGAGGAAGAGAGACCAGCAGGTAGTGGCTGGGGACTTGGGGGGCATGGGGAGGACAAGGAGCCAGTGGATGGGGTGTGCTGAGTGCTCAGTGTGCTGAGCTCTGGCTGTGGGCAGCCCACCAGCTCCCACTTGGGCACTGGGCAGCACTGGTGGGCACTGGCAGGTACTTGGGAGGAGAGGATGCCAGGGAGGACTCCCAGTCCTCTGCACCAGTTGCCACTGGGAGCCTGGCTGGGCACTCCCTGCCTTGGCAGAGCTCCAGCCATCGCTCCCCTCTCACCCTTTTGCTCCACCGAAGGTCGCCGGTGGATGGAGCCACCCTGGCAGCCACCCCTGCACCCGGGCGGCCTTTTGGGGCCAGCAGCTCCATGACAGGCAGAAAAACGTAAGTGACGGTATAATCAGGGCGTTGGTGAGACGGGAGGGAGCCACATGTCCCTCCCTGCCCAGGCACGGCAGGACACAGGCCAGGATGGCACAGTCCTGGTCATGTTCCTGTGTCCCTGTATGTGCCTCCATCCCTCAGTGCCAGCCGGGCCCTGCCCCGTCTTGCCCTTTCAGCAGAACCACACCGTTTCCCAGAAGCAGGAACAGCCAGAGGCAGCTCAGGGCTGCCCAGGGCAGGTCACAGCCACCCCTTGCCCAGGGCCACCCCCGGGGCTGACTGTGCCCTGGGCAGGTTGTCTCTGGTGGAGCCCGGCGAGAAGCACCTTCCTGATCTGCTCCAACTTGTCGGGAGCTTCCAGGAGCCAGGAGTAACGTCACCACCAGCTCCTAGTCACCTTGCACAAGCTGGAGCCACTGGGGCCACGGACAGATTGCAAAACCCAACTGCTGCCCTGTTCACTTCCTCGTTGGCCAGAGAAGTCCCCTCCATCAGCAGCTCCGCACACGTGTTGCAACTCTGGGCTGGCTCCTTGCAATTGCACTTCAGGGGTACCAGCTCTCCTGGGGTGGCCAAGGGGCCCTCGTCCCCAGAGAATGGCTCATCCAGGGATGCTGTGCCACAGGAGTGCCAGCCCTGAGGGGAGCAGGCTCTGAGCTGCTCCCACCCCGCCATGGGCTCCCCGCAGCCACCACTCTGCTCTGTGAAATACAGGGGGACACTTTCCACACGGTGGTCTTTGCTTGGTCACTCCACCGCTCAGCTCTTCAGGGAGGGGGTGCCAAGATGACCCAGTCAGGGAGGTGTTCGCTGCAGAGGTGACGGGTGCCACCAAGGGCAGTGTGTGGCAGCAGCACTGCCCACCCAGGAGACAATCCTGCCTCGTGTGAACCAGCCACTCCTTGCCAAGAGATGGGCAAACTCTCTCCACCGCTGCTCCCGCTGCTCAAAACATGTCTCACCCCTTCCCCGCAGCCCTGGCACCGCACTGTCTGCCCACACCCTCGGCAGCAGTGACCCCACGAGTGTCTGGCACTTAGTAACTCCCCAAAAGTGCCAGGTAGAGGGGGATGGAGCAACTGGCTGTAGCCACCCCTGAGAGAAGGCAGCCACTGGTCCCTGAGCATCTGCCCTGGGCCACGGGCAGCACAAGGCTCCTGCCTGCAGGACTCACTGGCCCAGCTCGCTGGGAGCCCACGGTGCCACCACACACGTACACCAAGCCCCGGGTCAAGCATGATGGAGGGAGCAGAGCACCAGACAAACCCACACCCAGGACTGCTCCCCGCACCCACCCCACAGCCCGCCATCTTCCCCGGGACAGGCCGGAGGAAACCCCCCTTTCTCCTGCCCTCTCCCCAGCCGGCACCTGCTCTGGGCTGGAGTTTTCCCTTGGTGTGATGCTCCACCAGTGGTCCTGCTGCCCTGAGAACTGGCCTCCAGCACAAAGGCTTTTATGGGAAAACTTTCATTCCAGTTGCATTGCCAGCACCAGGCAGATGCGTCTGATGCTGCTTAGGAACTGACTCCCCAACGTTGTGGGACAATGGCACCATCTGGGCCTGCCATCGTCCCCAGGGCCCGGAGACCCCCCAGAAACCATCCCCACAGCCCTGCGAGCCCCCAGGAGCAGGGACAGGGGACAGGCTCCTGCAGGGAGCAGGGATGGTTCCTTCCAACGTGCCCGTGCAGCACCCACACCACCAGGGAACTGACGCAACGCAAACAACAGCCTGACTCATCCTGCACCGACACGGCTCCGGCACGGCCTTTGAGCTGGGACAGCCCCACGCTTCTCTGAAATACCAAAATCAATCAGGTCTTGCCAAATGGGCCACGGCCTCCCCTGCAGCAGCCACGGCAGCATCCGCACAGAGGCCTCAGGGGGCACCGGCCACAGGACAGGAGCTTAGAGCCATGTCCTGGCCCGGCTGCAGCCATGGCACAGCTCCCCACGGCCACCCACGGGCTGTGCTGGAAATGCCCCACAGCCCGGCCCCGGGAGCAGCCCCACAACTGCCACGGGGGGCTCAGGAGGTGGGGGTGAAGCCACGCAGCACTCGCTGCTCCCCCCAGCTCTCCCCCCGGCCGGGCAGCCCCCACGCAATAGCTGTGGGAAGCTCTCCGCGGGCCCAGCCGCCATGCAAATCCTCCCAAACTATTGCTCAACCAGCGCCGCAGTCGCTCCAGAACATTTGTGCAACGCGGGATCCGGGGGCGGCAAGGGAGGGGGGCTCGGGGCTGGTCTGTGGCTCGGCCAGGAGGGCTGAGCCGGCTGCTGGCCCCATTGCTGGCCCCGGGGCTCAGCTTTGCTTGGGGCAGCCTGCTCCAGGAGGAAGGGAGACAGCGAGGAAGCACTTCTGCTGCCCTCAGGCAACTCCCTAAGGGAAAGCTTTCCACGGGCAAACCCTGGCCTTCGGGAGCACTGGCATATCCAGGGCCTGAAGCCCAGGAAAGGCTGGTGCCAGGCAGAGACACACAGGGCTGGAGGGTGACACCGGCAGCACTCGGTGTGCTCGGGACTCCTCTTCCTCTCTGCAGCCTCCCAGCGGGGGGAGAACAGAGGTTTGATGCTGAACCTGCTTCCTCGGGAGGTGGCCTGTCCCGGAGGGTGGCATTGCCCCAGCCCCTGGGTGATCCCACACATTTCTGCAGCCCCTTTCCCACGGCCCCAACGGGAGCCTGGGGTCAGATTCCTGCCCCTGGAAATGCCTTGAAATGTTAGAGTTGAGCTGGCCACATCCTGGAAATCCCCCGATGGGAGGAACCAGATGGTTCGTATGAAAGTTCAGGGAGCGAGAAGGGCAAAGGCAGCCGGGGGGAGGCGGGCAAAGCCCAAGGACAGGCTGGGCCCGTGGGCACCGGGAGCCAGAGCCCCACTGGGCTGGGATCGGGGGCTGCAGTGACCACCCAGGGTCCCTCCTGGGCCACCGGCCACACAAGGGAAGGAGAGACGAGAATGCAGCAGTTTCTGTCCCCTGACCTCTGCCACAGCACAGCTTCCCCCTCCTTCCTTCCCTCTTCTGAGTATCGATTTAAAAAAAAATAAATGAAAAAGCCAAGCTATCCCTCAGCACTGACCTCTGAAGGAGGGCCCTTCCCCTGTGGGTTCCTCCTTTCATTGTGCAATGGAAACAAAGCCTTTCCTTTGATGATATTTACCTTTTCCATCTATTTCTTTGCCTTCCCCATTGTGCCAGAAGAGACTCTTCTCTATCCCCCAAACACACCATTCCTCTTCACCAGCACCCCCGCTCACCCTCCTCACTTCCACATCAAAGTTTTTCCTCTCCTGACCCACCCTCCCCAGGTCCCTTCACACCACCTTGCTCTTCTGGGGAGGACACCACCAGAGCCACCTCCTCCTGCCAAGAGCAGGCACCCAGCTCCAGCAGGGACCTCAGGAGATAATGGTGGGAGTGACTGGAGCACTGCCGGAGGGGGACAGACAGCACCCTGGGCTTGGGAGGAAGGAGCTGGCAGTGGATGGGCTCAGCAGTGATTTTGCAGAGCTCCTGGCCATTCAAGCAGCTCCCGTTGGCCCCACCATCCAACACAAACAGCCTTGGGCCATCTCAGCAGTTCTCCTCCTCCTTCCTATGGTTGTACACTTCCCAGGAGCCTTCTGCACCCTGACCTCCAGCTCGGCCTGGGATCTCCCCCTCTCAAGGGGAGCAGCAGCTGCTCCTCGCCCTGCTGGGGTAGGAACCAGGGGCTGCTCATGGGGCTTCATCCCTGCACAGGGCGACAAGATGGGGGCAGAGCAACCCCACAGCAGCACGGGGACCTCTCAACAGCGCCTGTGCATGACCTCCTTAACTCTAGCAGATCAGAGCTGACAGGAAGATCTAACCTGGTTTAGATGGGTAAGATACACGGTGCAAACACACAGCAGCCGTGACAGGCCCTCCCCCCGCCGTGCCCCGAGGAAGCGGTGAGCCACAGGATGCATCGCCAAATTTCCACAATAAGATGAGGGCGAGCGCAGCAGCCCGGGGTGCGCAGGGAGGCAGCTCCTCCAACTCAGTGCAGGGACAAATCTGCAGCAGGGACAGTTCTGATCAGCATTTCCCACCTTTCCCATCTCCTGGGCACAGTGGGAAACAGGCCCAGCAGGATGCAGGACACGGGAGAAGGTGGTACTTACCCTCAGAGGATGCTCCGGGGGCAGGAGGCACAGGTTCACTCACGCAGGAGCCTTGTCTGAGAGAAGGAGAGAATTTGGGGAAAAGAGCAGCTGGGTTTGGGCTGGGTTTCCTGGGCAGCACAGCAGGACACACTGATGCCATTTGGGGCAATAATTTTGGCCAGATCTGTGTTAGGGACTGACCCTCCCAAATCAATCTGTGCCACCAGGACTGTCACTGCAGAAGGTAACATCATAACCAAGCTCCTGCCTTCCTCGTTATAGTAATGAACCTCTGCTTCTGTGCCAATCCCTTCAGGTGTTATCAGTCCAGCTTTGATAGAAATGAAAATTAACACTCCCCAACATCTAAACTAAAATTATCTAGTAATGTATTTTACTGGAAGACCAGCCTTAAAATCCTGCAGCATTTTTCAACTACAGACCCTATGACAAACAGCAGAAAAGTCTTCACCTGGTTCAAAGGGCTGATCAAATCTGTCACACATCACTTAGGGCCTTCCCCAGCAAAACCCAGCGCACACACACGGAGCTGGGTCACTTCCCACACTCGGCAGCGTTCCTCTCCCACAGCCAATAAATGACCTTTCAGACTCTGACATTCAGATTTGTTTTTTTGAAACAAAGCACTATCTCCAGAAGCACCTGCTTCCCTTGTTTTTTATTAACTAGAAAGTCATTGCCCTGTATTTAATTAACAACACCGATTTGAATAAAGACCATAAAGTTATTTAACAAGTCAGATAAGAACACGCTGTCGTGCAGGTGGGAGGGGAGGATCCTCACACAGAAATGTGAGCTTTTATATTGCTACTGTGCTCCCTTCTCAGTTCATAACAAAGCTTTAGAGCAATGTCTTGACATGCTATGCATAGCACATTATCCCATTGCCATGCCCGGCCTCTGACAGAGGTGCTGTGTAACTGGATAAAATGTGTATTTACCTCCAGCCCGTGAAAACTGAAGCACAGCCCACACTATTTGTTCCAAAATAATTATGGGTGCATTATTAGTTAGCACCCAAACACCCCCAGGAGGAAGGATCATTTCCCTGACCTTCCTGCAAAGCCGGCCAAAATGGTGAATGGTCTTCCAAAGAGCCACCAGAGACCAAGTCATTCAACTGGGCAGTTTTTATTCATATAACACAAGTTCATACTTCGCCGTGGCTTCCGCACGGCTGCCTCCGTTCAGTACATAAACTACACACCGCACAGCGATACACAGAGCTCAGGAAAATGTCAGCTTGTGAGTACAAAACGTTAGTCTTCCGATTGCGAGAGAAGAAGCAGATATCAAAATTGCACCAGAAAAAAAAAAAAACACAACACACACCACGCCAAGTAACACAATGGCTGAGTCGAGACCAGAACTAATTAAAACCAGCAGCAAGCAGCAAGTTGCTGGACAATAACATTAAAAACCATTTTTTCCTGTAATTTACAAATATGCAAAGTATCAGGTTACTTAAAATTAAGAAGCATTTTGCTTACTAACATGAAACATTACTAATTTGTAATGTATCATAATTAACCAGGTATACAGGTTTCTGTGTCCCTGTGGTTTTTACGGCACATGGTGCCACTCTGGGTAGGTCACGCCTCGGACAGACAGAGGGAAGAACAGCGAGAGACGGAACCGCTCTGGGGGACAGTCGGCTCCAACTCCCCCGTCACAATTTGCCACTCAAGGACCTTGGTTTAACCACAAGATGGACATATTTCAAAAAAAAATCATAACAAAAAAACCCCAGATACAATGTGTATCAACAAATCAACTGCTTCTGGCCTGCAAGTGCAAGAAACATCTTTGCCTTCTAAGCACAGTGAAATCCCAGGACCAGAACCAATTACTACAGCAATTGGTTTTGCATATTTAAAATCTGTTACAGTATCTACAGTAAAAAACATCTCACAGAGTAAGAGGGAACGAACAGGGAACAGTCTTACCAAATAAGTCTTATTCTATATTTTTTGGGTGCTGCTATGGCTTGACGAAGCTGAAGGGGACGGAAAAACGTTAGTAAGAAAGAAGATGAAGCAACAGCTTTACAGAGGAAAATCCTAGGGAATGCTCAGGAACGGGACTGGCAGCAGGCCAAGCGTGCCTGAACACTCAGAACTATTGCTGTCTGAAGACTAAAGGCACATCATAAATCCCCTCTGTGGGTGCTGCAGAGACAGCCCAGCACTGCCTTCCAGCCAAGGTTGGGGTTCCAGGGCAGCAGCATCAACAACATGGTCACCCCGTCCTCTGACAACTGCATTTCTCAGCCAGTGCCAGACACGACAGGCTGCAGCTCTGGGGCAGTGTCAGCTCTCTTGCCCCCAGAAAGGATTGCACTCCCGGCTCCCCTTATTTCTGGGAGCCACGCTGCTGGTGAAGCACTTGTGGCACGTACCAGAGAACTACCTCACCTGGAGGAGGTAAGTGGGAAGGGTGTAGAAAGCATCGTTAAAGAAGTGCACCAATCAAACCAAACCGAAGTCAGCTAAACCCAGCTTCATACTAGATTTATAATCCTACAGTTTCCACAGATCTGCATGGTAGGATTTAGTAAAGAGGCTTAGTTAGGAGCTCAGAACAGCCTGGACGATGCATTTCAGTCTTCACAAACAAGCCTCACACCACTGCAAAGGCAGTGCCCCCTCACCTGTACAAGCCCCTGACATCCCCCCATGTCTGGAAACACACTAAGCCACCCCAAAGCTGCAGCTACGGGGAGGAGTCGGGTCTGAACTGAGGGAATTTAGGGGGTGCCTGACTCCCCACACACCCCAGAGGAAAAACCCTGCTCTGCAGCTGCAGCCTCTGCTCTGGTGCAGCACCCAGAGCCTCCACAACAGCCCCTGGGGAAGACAGGACCCAAGGGTGCTCTCACCTCTCTAAGAGGGGCACACTCACATCTAGAGCAGAATTTGCTGTGAGCAAATCTGATATCCAGCCTCCAACCAGAGCCTGGTACTTCCAAGGAATAAGGAGGAGCCCTCAGAAGGCATCTGTGGCAGCTCCAGAGCAAACACCCTCCCCTCAGCTCTCTCCCTGTGCCCTGGCTGTCCCAGCACCCGCCTCACAGACCCGGGTTCTGTGACTTGTAGGTCAGGATCTCTGCAGCGAGCTGTTGGGGATCCAGCAGCCGAGGGAAACGGCTCATCACGGCGTCAACCAAGTGGGGGTGGAATATGCCACACAACTTGACGTGCACTTTGGCCCGCTCCTCTGCAAACTGGTCAGAGACAGCCCACTGGCAGGAGTCCCCGTAGGCCGGCCCGGGGGCTCTCGGTACCGAGCGAGGATCCCTCACGCTGGTAGATCTCACTTGAGGAGGTGGCATCTGGTAGGGTTCAGACCAGTACTCCCGAGAATGGGGCGGGGGGGTGTTATACTCACTGGGCAGGCTGTACTGACCAGCATTAGCTGGGTGTACGGGTACCCCATAGCCTGAGAAAGAGTGGGGAGCTCCTGAGGGAGACATCTCAGGGCTATACTGCAAGAAGCTAGCACCAGAGGAGGAAGATTTATGGGAACCATGCTTGTAAGAGACCAGACCGTTCTGCTCTAAGCTGGGAGAGTGTGGGTAGAGGGGTCTCTGCCTGCTGCAGGTGCAGACAGGCACCTGGTCAGGGTGGGAATGATCACAGTGACCGGTACTTCTGTAAGGCCACATGTCAGACAGTTGGTTCTCCAGAGACCCAATGCCTGAGTCGAGATGCTCCTGAGAGATATAAGACAGAGAGTCCATATGAGGCTGCTGGTACCTGTCGGAGGCCCGGTGGCTCCCGCTGCAGGCAGGGACACCCCCTGACACACAGCCCTTCACCTGAAGCTGAACGTCACTGGGCTTGGCTTTGTGGGGCAAGCTTTTCCTCTCTGCAGACACCTTCTGCAAAGAGCTTTTATCGCTCTCCGCGGGCACAGAGCACAAGAACTCTGCCTGGGAACCTCTTTTGCCCTTTTTCTCCTCTTTGGCAGTGGTAGTTCTGGTAGGAGACAACCTTGCATTGGCTCGGAGTTCATCAGCTAACGAGCGCTGGGGCTGATTTATCCTTTCAGGGTGGTAGAATTTACACTTAATTCCATAAGTGCATTTCTTCCCTGCAAGGAAAGGCAGAGCATGGAATGAGCAGCTGAATTTGAGAAAACATATGAATTACATTTGTGCAGAGACCTCAGTCCCCATGTTCAAAAGGCAGGTCTTACCATAAGGGCACTGTTGCTTCTTGTGTTCTGGCACAACAGGTTTCTTTCTGAGGAAGTTATCCAGGCTGGGGCCGTGTCGCCCTAAGGGATCATCTGGAGGCATAAACCTAAAGAAAAATAAGTCTCAAATCAGAAGCAGTTCACTTTCTTGGGTCAGGGTTTCATTTTGTCTGGAAGTCTCCCATCCCATTGAAGGTTAAAAGCTCTCCGAGCCCCAAAAGCTTTCCCATTTCTCTGTAGTGGAACTCCCCTGTCGCTTGGTGACAGCTGGGATGGAGTGATTCACCTCGGGCACAGAAGGGGTTTTGTGCTCAGCTGCTGACCAGAATTAGCATTTGCTGCTGGGCCTGCTAATAACTGTCCTGTGAGGAAGTCAAGTCCTGGAGCTCTCCCAGGAACTCCACCTCAGCAGAACTCCCAGCTCAAACCATGACCAGCTATTAGGATGACGCCAGTTCCTTCTGCCTTTGTACCTCACCACAGCTGAGCAGCTCTTCCCACCACGCTTCCTTCTTTTAAAAAATATCTCTACAGGATTTTTTTTTCCCATTCTGTACCAGCATTTTGCTCTTTTCACACATCACTTGCCATTGCTTCAGTAAAACCAGACAGCATGGTCACACAGAGCTGTTTTAAAAGCAAAGGAAGAATGGGAACATACTTGTCATTAACAAAGGAGTACATCAGAAGACGCTCCTCAATGAATTTCTTCCACTCAGGACGCTCGTTCTGCAGGTCCCGATAAGTATCGTTAGAAACCACAATGCCATCCGACTCGTGTGCCAGTTTCACAATGAATCTATCATCGTAACAGACAACACGCTTGCCTCCAACCCGCCTGGAAGGAGTGAAGACCAGGATTTTCTTCTTTTCAAGGTCACGGAGAATGTACTGGTCTAGAACAAACACAACCATGAATATACTTAACACAACCCAAAGGCCTTCACACAGGTAAAGAAACATTACATGAATTTTGCTGTTTGTTTGTAAGGTCATTTAATCTCTCCACAACCCAGCCTACGTTCTCATCTCATCCATCAGGCTGTCGCAGGTGGGTTCCTCACCCCAGCCCTGCCTGGCACCAGGAACACTCAGAGGCTGCTGTAACACAACGAGTCCCATCCACACTGTCCTTCAGACGCACAGCGATGTGTGTTTAACACTGGCAGGCTCCTACCTCTTGTGGTGCCACACCACACACACCTCTGAGCAGAGTCACTCAGGCATCTCAGCTGTTTGCAGCTTCAGAGCAAACTCCCCTCAATTTGAATAATTCTGACTAAACTCCCATCAAGCTTTAACTTTTAGCATGTTGAAATCCCATACAGTCTAAGAGGAAAAATGCAAGTAATAAGAGACAAGAAGTTAGGAGGCAGAGTAGTATAACATTCTTTGTTCTCTGAATTATTCCAGCTGATCCATGCAAGAACTTGCTTAGGGGACAAGTTAATGACTAATTCTCACCGGTCAGCTCAGCTTACCAGATCTCCTACTGCTCAGATCTTCCATTCATAAGTTAATTACTAACTAGCCAGAACTTTGCAAGCTCATTAAGTGACAAAGCAGTAAGCCTGAAAAAGCTACTTTTGGTTTTCATATTTCCATACCTGTTATAAGTACATCCGGTCGCGGCTGCTCCTTCCTCCAAGATGGCACAAAGACTGTAATATCCTTGTGTCCCCTGTCCCAAAACCACTGGACAGCCAGAAGGATTCCTCGGCAGGAGAACACTTCTTTATTTCCATGGCTGCATTGAAGAAGAAAAGGAAGGATTTCAATATTCAGTTATGCACAGACTAGCCAGGCAATGCTCTAAGCAAATGGCTCCAGCAATTCAGACAACCTTTAGTGGAGACGTGTCTAGAGTGGCACGGAGTTCATAGCTCCCCTCCTGTGAGCAGCAGCACTAAGAGCTTCACGGAATTACTGTTGCTTTTAGCACCTCAGTATGCCAAGAAATAGCCAAATCCTCCGTGGGAGGGAGAGGGCAGCTGTAACCGCTGCAGCTTCTCTGAAACGCTGCCTTTCCTTTAACTCTGGACTCCACATTTTTATTTTTAGCTGTGACTACAACATGATCTTTCTTGAGCACCCTTTGTCCCATTCTGCCAGCTCACACCAGCAGCGAATCCTGCCCCTGTAAACTGCACTCTCACTAGGCATTCTCCTTGTGAAGTTAAGAAAAACAAGACATTTTATGCCTGCAAGGACATCAGCGCTGTTGAAAGATGCTTCTTCGTTATATTATGGCCCCAAAAGTCAGTTACAAATGCACTATTTGCACAAAATAGCAATGTCTCCTGTTAACGGGATCAGCGGCGAACGTCTGCACAGCACTTGGCAGTTTGAGAGCAAAGTTTGACAACAGCATCAGACGCTCCACACCAGTGCAAAACCCTGCTGCTTAATGATTCAATAGGTCCTATCAATAAGTTTCCAGAACTTCTAAGAGGAAACCACCACTCCTGTTTTACCAGTGCCAGCATTTACAGCTTAATCAGCTCTTCTGTTGATAATGGTTCTGGCAAAGTTCCAACCTTTCTGTATCGCAGCCTGATTTGTCATTCCGGGGATTCAGGATGACACTCCGGGAAGAGGTACTATGCTGAGGAGTAATGCAGTAAGGTTTGCCCCACCAGGGCACTCCCCCTGCCCCAAGTCTTCCTCTCCCCATCCAGATCCGAAGGGCATTCCAACACCGGGCACGATGGCCAACGCCTCCATAGAGCTCACAGCCCAGCAGAGGCACTGCTGAGGGGCACTACTCCAGCTGCACCACCAGGAATAAACTTTATTTCTCCTGCCCCCACCCCTCTCTGAAGCCATAAGGAAATGGAAGAGTATATTCTATAGGAATTATACTTTTAACACCAAAATTAGCACCTAAAGAGACACCTAGCACATCTTCATTACATTAACAATTAGAAGAATGATGCTCTAAAAAAACTTTCTCTGATGCCAGACTGGTTTTGCTATAGATAGCCAGACACAGGTTACTAATGGGTTCAAGAGATAAGTGAGAAAAGTATTTTTTTTTTTTTTTTTTTTTTTGAGTCCCTGCTACCAAATCTCAAGTCTCCAGAAGGTAGCTAATTGGGCCGATCTGATTTGGCAGCAGCCAAGGAAAAATTCCCTTAGAAGGAAGTGAAAGCTAATTTCCACTATGATTTGCATATGTTTGTCAAGAGCTGTTGAGGGAGGCCGCTGTACACACTGCAAATGAATCAGCAGGGAACATCACACCATCAATACAGGAAGTTTCAGAATGGAATTCCCCTTCTAGCAAATTGCTTAAAAAAAAGCCAGACTGCTTTTCTCATGTCAAACTCTGTCCTACCCACAGCGTTGCTGCTGCCTGGCCTGCCCCCAGTCACATCTGCTGTCAGCTCTCCTGGGCTTTTTGGGATAACTTTCAGGGGTAAGAGGCTCCTCATTCAAAAAACCCAGTCTGTTGTTTAAGCCTGAGCACTTATCTAAGGTAAACTCTGCTGCCAGAGTCACACTTATCAGCCCAGGTCTCACAATGGGCCATTCTCCTCCAGTGTTGGCCCAGCCACAGGAGAACAGGGCTGTGCTCCCCTGGGGACACCCGGGGCAGAGCTTACCCCCCAGCCCTGCCCCACGGCCACCAGAACCCCCCCCTCTGCCCTGGGACTCGCAGGCTCCGTGTGTCGATCACACAGCAGACCGTACCCCACCTTCTCTCCGTCCTCTTCTCAGAACTGTCAACCACGGCTTAGAGAAAAACCACACCTGCCATGGAACCTCCCCGCAGCACTTTCACCTCCCACAAAACCCAGGGCAACGCACACAGCTCCTCCGAGTGCACCCAGACTTATTTTTTTTTATAAAAAATCCGTGTACACAAACATACACTACAAGGCCTATTAAGCTAAAACGCAGTGAAGGAAGCTTGTTTTTCAACTGCAACGACTGAGCCCAATTCAGAAACCTGGGGCATTAAATTAACAGTGCCCAGACCCCCCCATATAGAGGTGGGGAGCACAGCACGGGGGCTGGGGTCGGGGTGGGCAACGCTCACTATCACGGGGAACAAAAGCCAAGGTGGAAGCAGGGACATCAGGCCAATAAATATCCAGCCCAGAGACTCCAGGTGCTCCAGGGATGTCAGCTCCTTGCTCAATCCCAAGCAGCTTCACAAGCTGCCCTCTGGCTTGACAAGACCTGTGCCACCAGGACACCTGAGAAGCTGAGGGTGAGCCACAGCCTGGCCCCGGTGACACAACAGGCTGGAGTGCCCCTTCGACACCTCATCTATCTCTACACTGCATGGAAATTCACTCAAAATACAGGAGTCACACTTTGCAGACTAGTCTCCAATGCAGGAGACAGCTCCATCTTACAAAGCCTTCTCTAATTAAATCTGTAATTATTTATTGAGCAACTTCCTGCTACAGAAACTTACATAAAGCCATTAGGTAAGAGGACAATGTATCTTCAGTTATCCTCCTCATTAGCGAGAAAACAGAAGGAAATGTCACTGTTTCCAGGAAGCACGCCTGCTCCTGTCAGAGCCCTGTGACCACTGGTCCCGGGCTGGCAGAGGCCACGCAGGCAGCCAGCGTCTGCAAACACGATGCTTATCCCCCGAGAGCCCCACAAACCACTGAGGTGCCTTGGAAAATACCACCAGCTGCTACCAGGGCACCCAGGTTTTGGCTGGCACGGTGAGAAACCCCCCAGGTTTGTCAGACTCCAAGCTCTTAGTGCCCCACACACACCCCACAGCCAGAGGGGACCAGCTCAAGGGGCCACCCCTGTGACCACCACCCGGCCCCGCAGAGCCCACCGTGACCACCCAACACCCCCAAAACGCACCTCATGGCCACGTTGCTGCCATCGATAACGATGGGCTTCAGGTTCTCGCTCTCCGTCTCCTCCGGGGCCGGCGGGGGTGCGGGGCTCTTGTTGGCAGCACCCCCCCGGGGGACCAGGGGGGCCTCTTTGGCCTCCGGGGGGGTCTCGCCACCCTCCCGCTCGGCCGGGCCGTGCTTCACCAGCTCCCCCAGCACCGTGTTGGTGTCAGCGTTCAGGCCCAGCTTCTGCAGCACGACGTGGATCTCCTCGGAGGAGTAGCCCAGCTTGCGGAAGAAATCCACCTTCAGCTGCATCTCGGCGGGGTCGCAGGGCTCCCGCCCGGGGCTCCCCGCCTCCTCGGGCGGCTCGGGACCGGGCAGGCCGCCGGGGCCGCGGCTCTCGCTGGGCTCTCTGCCGCTCATCCTCTCTCGGAGCCGGGACGCCGGCGGGCTGACGGCCGGCAGCGCCTCAGGCCAGCCCGGCAAGGCGGAGAGGCTGCCCGCGCTCATGGCTCCCGGCGGGGGACTCCCGGCCTCCGCTCACACCCCGGACCTGCGGGCCAAGACGGGCGTTAGCAGCGGGCCCCGGCCCCCTCCCGCCCCGCGCTCCCGGCCCGGCC